ACCGAAACCAAATTTTAATAAGACAGAATTTATAAAATCTTCAGAATCTGTGTCGAAAGCTTTTCAAAATCAGTCAGAATCAATAAACCCGGTATATCTCGTTTCTTAGTTTCAACATAATATCATACAGTAATCATGTATTTCACTTAGTGGTCTGCCTGGTATAAATCCAATCTGGTTATCGTATATTAGGGAATTTAAGGTAATTTTCAATCGGTTAGAGATACAGGCACTTGTTATTTCACAGAGAGCATTTAATAAAATAACTGGTCTCCAGTTCTTAAATAGGTTTCTGTTTTTATTACCTTTTGGTATACCGGTGATAACTCCTCTCTTCATGGTAAGAGACATCTTATTTCTTACAGAAACATCTTTAATAAATCTGAAAATCCAAACCTTAAGATCTTTCTAAAAGTACTTAAAGACATATATATGTAGTTGTACAAACAGCGAAAAGCAAACAGTTGAATCTGCCTCGTAGGAGTTTGCGCTTGTATATTTGTTGTTTTATTTTTTAACCGTAGGCCTTATGTTATCAGGGAAGGACTTTCTGTAGATTCATATACAGGATTTGAGACAAGCGGAATTAATACCATGTGGATTCTCAAAAACAAAGGATTTGCTTCAATCTCAGAAACGGACCGAGTTCAGTTCTGCCCAAACATTTGATATTTCGACGCTTTACACCACTATCAACGCGACATTCCTAAAAAAAAAAAAAACCTTGGCGAAGAAAGATACAGAAAGTCCTTCCTTGATATTTATCTAACATCACAGATTTAGTCCAAAATTGTCAAAAATGTGTTTACTGAGAAAATATGTGAAATGCTGGACTTCCTCATTGATAATATCTTTGTAAAATCTGGGGGCAAAACATTTAGACAATTAGTAGGCATCCCCATGGGCACCAACTCTACTCTCCCAATTGCAGATCTGTTTCTTTATGCATATGAATCAGAATTTCTGCTAGGGTTGGCTAATTGAAAACAACGTAATTTGGCCAAGACATTTAACTTAAACTTCAAGTATATCGATGATCAAATATAGTACAATAACCATTAAATATTGTTGAAGTGAGACCGTCTCATGTGACCGTTTCATGTTTAGACCCGTGCATAAAGATTCATGGTGACAGAACAAAACTCCCCACAAGACAAAAGGGCAAACCTCACAACCAACGCAGGTAGCTGGGGCCTATTCTAACCGAATTCACCACGGGGAGACCCGTAAAATGCCCATAAAAACGAGAAACATCTATTGTGGATAAATACAGTTTCACCAAATGCATAACTTGTTTGAAGAAATGGGGGGTGTGTGCGAGTGTGTGCGAGTGTGCGTGTGCGTTGTACGTGTGTTGTGTTGTGTGTGAGTGTGTGTTACAGTCTCACAGTTAACACCTCAAAACAACAAATAAAATCGTTTCTTTGAAAGGCGGAAGTGAAACTCTTCTGTGGTCCTACAATACCTGTTTCTTCAGAACCTGCGACATGTTAGTGATCGACTGAAACTTGGGGACAGTTAATTCCACCATTTATTGGAACAGATTATTTTCATCTTGTTTAGATCCTAGTGACTTTCATCCCAGCATTTAAGGCTGCCTTACTGTGAGTGGGTTTGCTGCTGGTTCTCGGTCGCGACTGCTGTATGCACGTGTCAAACATGTCGGCGCCCAAGCCCCGAGGCTGATGGGACCAGCACATTATACCTCATGAAATATGTGTTGACATCGTCATCTGTACTTTAGTGGGAGCTGTTTTGAATCGTGTTTAAAGTCAAAGTCATAAAACGAGCCAGAGCATCTTGCTCACGAACGAAGAGCGAATATTTTCTATATGGCGGCGGTCTGTAGATATTCGAGTCTGGACCAGATCATCCAGTGATCAACAGCATGAGCATCGATCTACTCAATCTGGATACGATTATATGTGTCAGCCAAATCAGCGAGCCTGACCACCCGATCCCGTTAGTTGCCTCTTACGACAAGCATGGGTTTCCTGAAGACCAATTCTAACCCGGATGTTTCGTGAGTTGTGTAAAGGATCTGTACCGAAACGTCACACTCAGAAAATATAAGATGCTCTTATCCATACATTTGTCAGTATTGCACTGAACCAAATTTAAAATGCCAATCAGAGAAGCTAATTTGGGAATATAAAACAGGAACGATTCCTGGCACGACGACAGGCGGCAAATGTGACCCGTGAATGGCGTCTTTGGAGTCCCCCGGATCCCTGTGGCTTCCATGGCCTTTGTTGGCCAATGGTGTGAATTTTACACGGCATTCTTACTTTATGACGCACTGGAGGAGGCGAAATGGGGCTCAAGATTGTTTCTCTTACATCGCCACATGCAATTAAATGACTCCGAGCCGAACAGAGTTAGTGGTATGTTTTGAATGAAGCGCGACAGTCAGGGGGAGGCCAAGGTTACAGGTTTTGAAATGTGTTTTGTATGGCGCAGTCGACATTCTATCTCCAGGCAGACGACGCTCTATCCACTACTCCGAGAGCAAATTTGATGACATGTAATATGGAAATATGACATTTGTTGAGTATAATTTGTGCGTGTGCGAGAGAGTGAGTGAGTGAGTTTGGTTTTACGCCGCTTTAAGCAATATTCCAGCAACATCACGGCGGGGGACACCAGAAATGGGCTTCACACAATGTACCCATGTGGGGATTCGAACCCGGGTCTTCGGCGTGACGAGCCAACGCTTTAACCACTAGGCTACCCTACCGCCCTGTGCGAGAGAGACTGATTTGGACCGTTGACGAATCAAGTTTTCATTTCTTTGGTAAAACCTTAGGATTAATAATTGGATAGCAGGTTGAGGCAGCACATACTCCTGGTGAGACAGTTTACTACGGAATATACAGATCAGTCTTTGAGGATGATACATATACCTATTAAAAACAGGAGGGAAACGGCCAATGTTATTTGACTTAGGCAGTCAGTAGTTGATATGGATGTGAGCAAACAATATATTAAAAGAAAATTAGTTACGAATAATGACAATTATTATGGATATACAACTTCTTTTATTCTGTGGAGGCGACGTTTCGACATAGATTCTAATGTCGTTGTCAAGCAATTAGAATCAATGTCGAAACGTCGCCTCCACAGAATAAAAGAAGTTGTATATCCATAATAATTGTCATTATTCTTCATCAACTCAACTTCTAAAATGCCCATCAAAGAAGAAAATTAATAAATTTCTAAAATATGTCCCTTATGGCTGTACCCTGACATAGACGTAGACATATGGGTACATACATAGACGTAAGCGTCAAGGGAAGCTCCGTCACGAGCATCCTTGTATATTTGGGTTGTATATTCAGTGACAAAGCTCTTGAAACCTGCTTAATTCAGGGGTTGGAGTGTGCGCCCGGAGAGCGGAAGGTCGCGAGTTCGATCCCCGACCGCGTCATACCAAAAGACATTAAAATATGGTACTTGTTGGTCCCTGCCTGGCGCTCGGCATTAATAGGTACAAGGACTGGTCGGCTCGTGGTCAGTATAATGTGTCTGAGTGGGGCATTCATGCTTCACTGCGGCATGGCATCTCAGTGGGCTAGCACTATAAAACCAGCTTAAGTCTGGGCTAGTACAAGCAGCCGCACATACACATACACACGCATGCACGTCGTCATATGAGCGTAATATTCTCAAGCACGACATTAAACCTCACCTCACCTCACCTCACCTCACCTCACCTCAATTCAGGAAAGCGCCCAAACACCACCGAGATGCTTTTCAGTGAACAGGAGTGAGTGGGGTTTCCGCCGCTTTTAGTGAGTGAGTGAGTATGGTTTTACACCGCTTTTAGCAATATTCCAGCAATATCACAGCGGGGGACACCAGAAATGGGCTTCACACATTGTACCCATGTGGGGATTCGAACCCAGGTATTAGGCGTGACGAGCGAATGCTTTAACCACTTGGCTACTCCACTGCCCCCAGTGAACATGAACTAAGCACAAGTGTACACAAGTGTAATTATTCAATGAGTGAGTGAGTGAGTTTAGTTTTACGCCACACTCAGCAATATTCCAGCTATATGGCGGCGGTCTGTAAATAATCGAGTCTTGACCAGACAATCCAGTGATCAACAGCATGAGCATCGATCTGCGCAATTGGGATATGATGTCATGTGTCAACCAAGCGAAGATCAATATTCTAACCCTGATCTTCATGGGTAACGGAACATATGAAACACATATAACCAACATAGTTCCAATCAAAGTTACGGTGTTCCCATACTTTTGTGAATGAGTATATACACCAGGTGAGACAACTTAAAACATCTTGCTGTGTATTTTAGATCAAACTTATAGGTAGATATACAAACAAAAACTCGGTGAGACCTCATGTAAAACATGTAAAGCGTAATATCACCCGAGGACAAGCACCTGGGGATCATGGATATTTTGAGTATATAGAAAAGACTGAACATACAATAATCTCATCAATGAAAATATTCACAAAAATATTCACCTGTCCAAAGACCTGTCTGTGTTTCTCTAGTAAAGATCAACTTTACTTTGGGGTAGAAGAAAGACGTTCAAAGTCGGTATGGAAAATATTCGACATGACTCGGGCGTCAAGGGACTGTGAGGCAATATCGTGAGTCATGAAAGGATTATTTGACCATACATTTTGTTCTTTTCTGACAACACCGGGGAATCTCAGCCTTGGTCGAAGACCTTGAAATCACATTTAGCCTTACCTTGGCACTTAGTGTTGTCAGAAGTCCCATATAGTAAAGCTTTGAAATGATCAAAGCCCAATGAGCATTAACGTGAACATATTTGACAAGTCTGATTTGTAAACGGTTTGCTAAATAATGCAGATCCTGTTATCCTAAGAACATGAATAATTTCTACAGCAACAACTATCAGTTAGTTCAAATGTAGTTCAGTGTCATGAAATTCTAGGTTAAGTATAACCGTTACCTAATCAGCCTTGTGAACAGGTATAAGGTAGGTATATATCCGGCTTACCTTGCTAGCGAGACCGGTATGTGTGTTCTCCGTTCAGGTGAGACCAGCGTTCTGACGGAAAATACGCCAAGACACTCAGTCCATCAAACCTCGCACCATGGGCCGTCTCAAAAGTCCCGCGCTGATTTAATGGTCGAAGTGTAAAGAAAGCCACTTTCATTGCGCTAATAAAGTCCTGTGAATTGTCCGTAAGCCATTGACTTACTGAGTTAAAAACTATAATATTTTTTTACACAATGAAATTACAAAAGTGGTGAAAATTGAAATCAAGATTATTATGAGATGGCACAGTTTCAATTAACTTTTAGTTCAGCCTTTTATTCTGTCGATTGTCACACTTTCACACTTGACAACACATGATTTCCACGTGCTGAGCACGTAAATTAGCACGCGCTGTACTGAATGAATTTCGAATCGTTATTGGATACATGATGCACCTGATACAGGGTTGAGGCAACCGACGGACGGACGGACACACAGACGCACACACGGACTGTATACGACGCCGTACTTCATTGAGTGAAAGGTTGATTTTAATACTAATCACGTGTTATGTCTGACCAGATCCAGTCGTTCGTTTACAACCGTACAGCTGGCATATGCTGACTGCGGCATAAAACAAAGTCACAAATCATTAAGGGAAATCCTCTACACAGCGTATTGTTTATGCAGCATATAGGCTTAACAACCCATGCAAATATTATACTACTCATAGTTTGCTAAGAATCAAGTTTTGATGATGCATAAACTTTATCCAACAAATACAGATTGAAATATGCCAGTACAAAATGATTGATAGCCCCTACAGGACCTCAGTTTCACGATGAACGAATGAGGTGCTTGAAAACAGCGTTCGAAATTAACGTCGGTCCTTAGGTCCGAAGCTGACCGAACACCACTCGGACCCACAGCTTTTGTTTTCTGCAGGTCCTTATGGCCGACAGCTTTTTCATCCCCAATAACGAAGAGTATTATTTCTATATTAAAATATAGGGCCTACACATTCTGATCAGGACCCTCAACATTTTATGGTTCTGGGTCGGCCGGTCCTTAAAGCCTGCAGCTTGTCAGGGTTAAGGGCAAACACTGCTTGAAAACCTGTGTTTTGATGCATCGTAACAGCACCATTGCCTCTTTATGCCTTATAATAGTCCAAGAGTCATTTAAAGACCGAGGGGTGAAGCAGATACACAGGCATGGAGCGGTAGCCGGGCCACAGGTTTCAATCCTATGGAAGCAGGTTGGAGCGAGTTGCAGACCGCCCCCTCACAACACTCTGTCCTTTCAGCACAGAACTCGGCAATGCTCTTACTAAAGAGTGGATCAGTCTTTCCTTGGCAACCATCCAAACACTTATTGGGAACATTGGACGACAGTGCCAGAATGTGGTCGCACTTTGTTGATCACAAACTCCCTACTGAGAGTATTTGTTCAAAATGAATAAATGATACACTGAAGGTTCTGTTTTTGCCAAATACTAACACTTTGAAATGTAAGTAAAAATGTATGTGAATAGATGATGAGTAATCTGTGGCGTATGACGTCATGCACACTAGTGTATAATGTACATATAAATTACATTTAGTGTATATCAAGGTATATTTTACATTCATATATGTATTTTCCTGCAGTTCAAAAGTGTGGTTATTTTTTGCTTCGTTTCACACGTTGAAAATGATTTTCATACTCTTGATAGTTCCTCGTACAGAATGATGTGTTAATTGAGGTACAATCTGTCATGGAAACGGAATGTTTTTTCTTTCAATGAAAACAGTGACTAGCTTATAAACAAGTGTTGGAAACACTGTTGGTCGCCATGTTCTTGTTTTGTCAGTTTAATGGTATATTGCAAACAGTGTCAGCCTCTCTCTCTCTCAAGTTGTCGTCACATAGGCAACGTGAACACAGTGAGACACCTGCCATTTTCAACACCGACATGTGCGTTAACATTTCGTGTCAGCTCGCTATAGTCACGGGCGAAGGGTTAGCCTAATGGTTAAAGCGTCCACTCGTCACGATGACTCGGTTCAGGTTCGACACGACTAGAGTGTCACGTTGAAGCCCATTACTGGTGTCCCCCACCGTGATGTTGCTGGAATATTGCTTAAAGCGGCTTAAAACCATACTCACTCACTCGCTATTGCCACAAAATCGTATGTACGTTGCATTGAAAACTAAACGACCACGTTAGTTAAATATTGTTAGCATCTTAAATTTAGCACATGTGATGACGCAAGTGTCGTCGATTATGTCCCGCAAATGTCCCGTATCTTCCATCATTATATTCCGCGGGTTAACGGAAATATTGTTCGAACACCCATTAAAATAAAATATGGAAAACATTTAGATACACATGAATGGTGTTAATGATAAGGTTGATCATCGCTTTTAATATTCGATTTTTGTTCATATTAAAAGTCATTTATTATGCATTTGGTTTCTAATTACATAATAAAGACACAATTGATTAATTTCAAACCATTGTTTTGAACTATGGGTGCGCTTGTAAAAATAACAATACTTTGTTGACAAAGCCAGGGCAAGACCGGTAGATACTTCACACCAATGTCCGTTATATTATTCATGTTGTAAAACGCAGCACCACAATCAGTTACAACAAACATCACCATTGAAACAAAATATTTACATTTAATAGCTGTTGTCATAGTAACGGGAAGGGATCTGTTCTGTGTTCTGAGAATATGGGTATTACATTGCTTTGGATATCTAGAGGACGGGAGTATGTTGTGAGAATATGAGTATTAGTGCACAACATTGTTTTAGATATCTAGAGGACACGGGCGTATTTTGTGAGAATATCATTGTCATATTGAGGGTCTTCCATGTAATTGTCACAAGAGTAACCTGTCATCTTAGTATTTGTCTTTGCATTACAGCTACACGACAGCATCCTAAATTGGACAGACGGGGTGCGTGAGTTTAGATTTATCGTCACATCGGCAGTATTTCAGCCATATCTTGACGAGAGGAAGCCGTACATCAATGACAAATATATATCAACTGTACATATTCCTGTCGTCAGCGGACAGTATAATAACTATAACGACCAGATTATAACAAAGTGTTTTTAAAACAAGTTAGGGTAAGGGAAATGAAATATTAATTTAAACGATCAATTGACAAACAAAATATAAAAGTGGCTAGAGAATTGCTGGCAACGGAAGTTAGACCTCCATATTAGTGACACGCAGACACTTGCAATACTTCTGCTTCCTGCGTGGCTAGCCAGGATTTATACCACCCCAGTAGGATTTATACCACCCCAGTAGGATTTATACCACCCCAGTAGGATTTATACCACCCCAGTAAGATTTAAACCACCCCAGTAGGATTTATACCACCCCACCCCCAGTAGGATTTATACCACCCCAGTAGGATTTATACCACCCCAGTACGATTAATACCACCCCAGTAGGATTTATACCACCCCAGTAGGATTTATATCACCCCAGTAGGTTTATACCACCCCAGTAGGATTTATACCACCCCAGTAGGATTTATACCACCCCAGTAGGATATATACCACCCCAGTAGGATATATACCATCCCAGTAGGATATATACCACCCACCCCAGTAGGATTTATACCATCCAAGTAGGATTTATACCACCCCAGTAGGATTTATACCATCCCAGTAGGATTTATACCTCCCCAGTAGGATTTATACCACCCCAGTAGGATTTATACCACCCACCCCAGTAGGATATATCCCACCACCCACCACCCCAGTAGGATTTATACCATCCCAGTAGGATTTATACCACCCATCCCAGTAGGATTTATACCACCCCAGTAGGATTTATACCACCCCAGTAGGATTTATACCACCCCAGTAGGATTTATACCACCCCAGTAGGATTTATACCACCCCAGTAGGTTTATATACCACCACCCCAGTAGGATTTATACCACCCCAGTAGGATTTATACCACCCCAGTAGGATTTATACCACCCCACCACCCAGTAGGATTTATACCACCCCAGTAGGATTTATACCACCCACCCCAGTAGGATTTATACCACCCCAGTAGGATTTATACCACCCAATTGCAAGGTTATACCACCCCAGTAGATTTATACCACCACCCAGTAGGATTTTATACCCCAGTAGGATTTATAGGTTATACCACCCACCCAGTAGGATTTATACCTATACCACCAGTAGGTTTATACCCCCAGTAGGATTTATACCACCCCAGTAGGATTTTATACCACCCCAGTAGGATTTATACCAACCCAGTGGGATTAATACCACCACAGTGGGATTTATAGGATTTATGCCACCACCCCAGTAGGATTTATACCACCCCAGTAGGATTTAGGTTTATACCACCCGGTTTATGCCACCCAGTTTATAACCCCCAGTAGGATTTATACCAACCCAGTGGGATTAATACCACCCCAGTAGGATTTATACCACCCCAGTAGGATTTATACCATCCCAGTAGGACCACCCCAGTAGGTTATATACCCCAGTCAGGATTTATACCACCACCCCAGTAGGATTTATACCACCCCAGTAGGATTTATACCACCCCACCCCAGTAGGATTTATTTATACCACCCCAGTAAGTTTATACCACCCCAGTAGGATTTATAGTAGTGATTTTATACACCACGGTAGGATTTATGCCACCCCAGTAGGATTTACCACCCCAGTGAGTTTATGGTAGGATTTATACCAACCACCCACCCCAGTAGGATTTATACCACCCAGTAGGATTTATGCCATCCCGGTAGGATTTATACCACCCCAGTAGGATTTATATCACCCCAGTAGGATTTATACCACCCCAGTAGGATTATATTTACCATCCCAGTAGGATTTATACCACCCCAGTAGGATTTATACCATCCCAGTAGGATATATACCACCCCAGTAGGATTTATACCACCCCAGTAGGATATATACCATCCCAGTAGGATATATACCATCCCAGTAGGATTTATACCGCCCCAGTAAGATTTATACCACCCCAGTAGGATATGTACCACCCCTTCAGCTGCTAGCGATTGTACGCAGTGTTAGCCATTATCGAAAATGCACAGATATACCACGATTAAAACGATGATCGATATGGATATCTTTGAATGATGTGGGTTTATACACCCTCTCATGGGGACAATAGTTTTACAGTACTTAAACCCCCATCAAGGGTATAGCCACAACCAATCTTATTTCATAATAATATGCTACCTATATATAAAATAACGTATAATAATATGCTACCTATGATGTCATGAGCAACGCCTCGATGTCGGATGAGATGACGTGAATCGCCTCTCTCGACAACAGTTGTTGGGGACCTATTGTGATCCAATGTGATATTAGCCAAGTCACGAAGCCGGAAGGACCGACCCATTTGATCACCTGTTACAAACATATGTACGTGGGCCCGATTTACCTGTGCTCCCTCCCGGGGTGCAACAAATAACAAACTAATATCAAGGCCAAGCGTCAGATCGCAGTGAACAAGGTGACAATAAGTTCCTGCGTTCTGAAGATACAGTAAACAGTATGCAATCTAGGACACAGTGTGACACCGGAATTCGCTCTTAACAATGTAGGAGACTGACTGTCTGACTGAGACTCTCTCTCTCTCTCTCTCTCTCTGCGTGTGTGTGTGCGCGCGTGCGTGCGTGCGTGCGTGTGTGTGTGTGTGTGTGTGTGTGTGAATATATATTATTTTGATAGTAACAAACAAGCCCATTTAAACTGAAAAGGAGCCCTAGGGAGACCAGAGATTCAGAGGAAATCTAGACTTGCTTTATTTAGGGCTTTAGCACTGCAGAGAGGGTTTGACAGTAGTGAAAATAATGTGGTTCAGGGACTGTGAGACAGACTAGGCCAGCTACGGTGAGGCTGCCAGCAACGACGTGGTCGACAGTCAGCTCCGTGTGTACAACGTGGGAGATAGGACGGGGACACGTGCGGGAAGTGACTGTAAGTGATTCCACTGACAAGCAGGTTTAATTAGAAATAGCTGTTGCTATAAAAACACCCATTTAGACTTGAGTACAAGAACACTACCGCTAGCATCAACATAAGTACAGCAGTAACGTTGACCATTTGAACCTGTACATTGACGATTGGACTGTCTCCCAGTCCACAGAGAATGCATTAAGAAAGGACCTCAAGTCTACTACAGCTCCGTCAGTAAGGTTTGTGCCGGGCTCCATTTGAATTGTATTTCGTATATTTAGATATATATCTTTAAATAAGTTAACTTTTTTCAGGTACAAACTTTTAGTCGAACATAAGGGGAGCCGATGATCAACACTCAAACGCGCTAAACACGTGTTGATTAATTCATTATAAATCATGTTATACTGCCGGTACTACTAAATATCACTGGATTGTCTGGCCCAGACTCGATTTCTTACATACCGCCGCCATATAGCTGCAATAATGCTGAGTATGGCGTTAAATAACAAATCAACTACTACGACGTCTACTACTACTACTACTATTACAACAACTACTACTACTGCAACAACAACTACTACTACTACAACAAGAACTACTACTACTACTACTACAACAACTACTACTACTACTACAACAACTACTACTACTACTACAACAACTACTACTACAACAAACTACTACTACTACTACTACTACTACAACTACTACTACTACTACTACAACAACTACTACTACTACTACTTCTACTCATTATTATTGTCATCTTGGTGACGGTTGTAGGTATCAGCATTGTTGTTTTACCGGAAATATATTGTTTGTATATAATACCTCAGCACGTAGCCAGGTGCCCGAAGAAAACTGACTTGA